TCGAACCCATGACCCCTGCAGTGGAAGCGCAGAGTCCTAACCACTGGACCGCCAGGGAAGTCCCCAGTCTATTCTTAAAATAGCTGCCAGACTGCTCCTTTGAAAACATGAGTCAAAGGATGTCTCTCTCTCTCTGCCCTATTACCTCTTGTAGTTTCTTAATATCACTCCAAGTGAAAATTAAAGTTAAGATAACGGCCAATAGGTCATTCTTGGTTACTTCTCTGCCTCATGTCCTATTGCCTCCTGTCCCGTGCTCACTCTGCCCCTGTCACGCTGGCCTCGTTGATGGTCCTCAGTCATATTGCACAATGTCTGACCCCAGGACCGTTGCACTTGATGTTCCCTCATGTCCTACTCCCTCATTGACCTCAGGTCTATGCTTACATGTCACCTGTTTATTGTTTGAGGACTTCCTGACCCCATTGTTTAAATGGCACTTGCATTGAAACCCTGGAATATTCTGTCCCTCTTTCCTGCTTATTTCTGTCTGTTCCATCTGAAGGCAGTATATTTTATTTATTTATCATAGTCATTGTTTGTCTCTTCCTTCAAGAATGTAAGCTCCAGGAGGACGGAGATTTTTCCTGCTGTTTTGTTTGTTTTTCTTTTTCTTTGTTTTTGCCACGCCATGTGTCATGTGGGATCTTAGTTCCCCGACCAGGGATCGAACTCTCACCCCCTGCATTGGGAGCATGGAGTCTTAACCACTGGGCCACCAGGGAAGTCCCCAGGTTTTTCCGGGTTTGTTCGCTGTTGTAGCCCAGCACCTAGGACAGTGTTTGGCACAAGGAAGGTGTTGGATTGGCTGAGTTATGAAAGCCTCCTGTCCGTTTGCTTGAGACCAATGACGTGGGACATCGTTTGCGACTGTCTTTGATGTTGCCCCCAGAAAGCTCTGAAACAGGCCAGGACATAACTTCATTTGCACTTATGCCAAGGCAACAGCACGTAGGGGGTCCAAGAAACTCCCCCTTTCCAGTCTAGTCTCATCTAACAATATGCTCAGCACTTCCTTCTCCTTTCTAAAACATGCTCTCAGGGAAAAAGCTGAGAAAAGTTTAAGGTAAAGCAAATATGAAAGGGTAAAATGACTCATTAGCTTAATGTGTTTCAATTCCCAGGGAAATGTGTCTCTATACCAGGTTGAGAAAGGTAGTGTATAATGAGTTCTTACTGAGTATCTGTGAACGAAGCCACAATTGTGCTAGGTACTTTCCCTCTTTTTAATTCTTATTAAGCTGCCAGGTAATATTATGATTTTTATTTTAAACACAGACAAACAAAAGTTGAGAATGGCCAACTAAAGTATCCAAAGGTAGTGAGTAGCAGAACAGAATTTGAACTCAGATTAGTTCCAAAGCTCACATGCTTTTCGCTGTACCATTCTTTCTTCGAGGAGTGAAACGGAGGAGGAGAGGAAGGGGCCCTAAGCTGGAGGTCAAGAAAAGGTCCAGAAGCATGAATCTGTTTTCCACAATTCATCATATTCATTCTGTGTATCTATAGCTTCATCCACTTGTGACGAATCCCCTTTTAGGAAGATTTCCTCATGGATGGGAGCAGAAGCGGGTTTCTGGTCAATCCTTGTTCAAGTAGACTGTTCATTCCACTTTGCTTTTCTCTGGTCCCCACACTGTCTGTTCAAGAGTCCTGAGTAATCAAGTTGTTGCTCAGCCATCTTGTACGCAGAAATTAAGTACTGGACAAATTGTGAAATTGTCTTCGGAATGTCTAACTCTAAACCTTTCTTGCCTCTGCTAAGATGTCCACGTGTATTAACACAAAGAATTCTTTCTTTATCCCTCCCCCAAGGTGTGGTGAGTGTGTAGGGGTCAATTTTTAACCTGCATAGAGCCCTTGTTTAAAAATAAAAATTCATTTACTAAAAGGTAACTAAGATCATAATCAGGTTTGGAGGTTCATTTCTAAAGCCTCTCTTAGCCACCAAAGTTATTGGTATCTATCTAACAATCCACACTATCACACTGGAAAAACTCCACTAAGGAAATTTCATGCCAAGCTAGAGAGTTAATTGTTAACAAATTGATTCAAATGGGAAAGAAGTCGTTTAAAAAATTTGGCTGGATATTCTTAGCCAGAAATTTCACTCACATTTCAAAGATATAATTTAATTTTCATTATATGCGTAATATTATAAGACATTTGGCAAATAACTAGAAGATACACATAATCTCGTCATAACTCATCATGACGCATTTCATTCTAGTCTTTTTTTCCTTGGCCTGGGCATACATTTTTAAAACATATTTTAATGATCACATATCTATATCCACCGTATTTTCCCAAGTGGCTGTCATTATAACCACTTAAGACAGAAAGTTAAATTTTCATTATAAAAGTAATAAGTGTTGTTTTTAGAAAAGTTGAACTGTGATAAAAAAGAAAATAGGAGACAAAAATCACCCCTAGGCCCATCACCTAGAGACTGTCACTCCCATCCTGGAGTGCTTACTGGCGCTGTGTTTTGTGCATGTGGCTGTTGGCTCCTTTCTAACAGTTGCATAACCTCCACTGAATCAGTACACTGCAGTCCACCTAACCATTCCCCTATTATGGGAATTTAGTCAGCTTACACATTGAGGTAAAAATTTTTCCCATAAGTTAGGTCTCCAGGATTATAAAGACCGAGTCACGGGGCACACATTGTCTTATGGCTATTCCCAAAGTGCGAGTCTTCTCTCTGGAAGTGCTGTCACGTCGGGAGCGGTGGGGTATGGGTGGGGAACATTATCAGCCTGTAGTCTGCCTTGCCAGCCTTTTTTTCACTCTACATCCTTTCTCACCTCCTACGCCACCCGCCCTCCCACACTGTCTCGCAAATAACCATGCCGAAGGTGTGTGCACTCCTGGCTCATGGCTTTGCTGTTTTCTCTGCTCTACACAAGGCAGAAATTGGTTATCTCTTCATTTGAAGTTTCAACTTAGGTAAATAGCGGGCGGAGCTTAACCATTCTCTATCATCATGAGCCAAGAAGGATGACACTGCTCTTGGCTGCGTTTAGGAGGTCACCTCTGTTTGCGTAAAAAGCTTTGGAGCGACCGCTATCTCTCTGGCCTTCTCTCCTCCACATACTCTGTCTCTAGTCGGGACTCCCACATTGGGTTACCTGGTCAGGGGGTGTGTTCTTTGCAGCTGGTGCCCATAAATAATAGCTCCATCACGTACGCCTGAAAATCATGAGGAAGAAAGAGCAGGAAGGGTGCCTGCGTAGGAATGCTTTTTACTGTGTTTACTATACCCAGAGGTTTCATTGGGGGGGGGGGGTTGGCATAATAGCAATAACAACGATAAAAGCTGATATCTGAGGGATGCTCACCGTTCTCTCTGGCAGGAAAGGCTGTGTGGTTAGAAGACCAATGTCTGAGATTAGAGGAAAAGGGCCTCCCTCTCCAGCCACTTTTAACAAAGCATCTTTATCTCTGATTTCATTTTTTACATGTTCCTTAACCTCTTCAGAGGTTTGTTGGGAAGGTCACAGAAAATAATTCTAAACTGTAAAGTGATATTCAAATGCAAAAAGGTATTGTTATTGTAAGTACCCCTGTGCTCTTCAACCATATGCCACTAACCATCAAGAAGAAAGATACACTTCTTGAACTACAAGGTCGATGAATTTCATTTCTTTGAAATTATAGAGTTATTCAAGTTAAACATTTTTTTCTGGGTACATTTTGTCCATTTCAATGTTTGGAGCAACCCCCTTTTTTTTTATTTTAATAAAGTAAGGAGGCTTGGTGTTCCTCACAAAGAGCAGTGCTGTCAATGAGATCAGACCTTTGAATAAGTAGCAGATGACTGCCACACATTCAAATTTGAGGACCAATTTAAATAAATAGTTCCTCTTAAATGACAAACCCCATCATAACTAAAGTACCACCAGCTAAAGACATTGAAGTTGAGACATTTTATTAAGTGAGTATTATTTTTGTGGTATTTAATGAATGCCTGTACATGAGCCTTCCCTTCTCAATGAGGCCTCATGTGTCCGCTCTATTAAATACCGTAATCTCCCTCATTCCATCCCAGGACTGCCCGTTCCCTTCATCCTGCTCTGCTTTGTATTTTTTCCTTAGCCTTTGTCATTATAATCATTATAAAATAATACACAAATCGGTTATCTTTGATGTTTGTTGTTTGTCTCTTCACAACTTGAATGGAAGCTTTATAAAGGAAAATATCTTTGTCTGTTTTGTTCACTGATATATCCCAACCACCTTGCAGAGTGATCAGTACCTAGTAGGTGCTACATATACATTTGTGGCATAACTTGAATGAAAAGTAATTATATAAAAATATGAATGATATTATACTGGATAATTTTAACTGAGCATTTACTAAGTACCTGGCAATGTGTTTGTATCATCTCATCCAATGTTTCCAACAAATTTACGAAGCGGGTACCATAGTACCACCAAATTACAGGTGGAGAAACTGACGGTTAGAAATGTGAAAGTACATTTTATAAGGTCTCGTAGCCAATATAATTAAGAACTTTGATTTAAACCCAAGAAGCCTGACTCCTGTGGACTCTATTCAAGCAGAACAATGTTGCTTGTATTTATTGATTTATTTATTGAGGTACTGTTACTGAGATTCTGTGAGATGTCATTCAGGAAAGGAGGTTTTCCTGTGTAAATATTTTTGGCGACCACTGACCCAATGAAGTCTTATGTTTGCAAGCCCTCTAAGCCCTGAGCAGATTTCCACGTGATTAGATTCTGTGGCATTTGAACTATCTCCCCCACCTCTTGTGATTAGTTATTTGGTTTTGCAGAAGAAAAGGTAAACAACTTTTGCAGTGTTGAAGACTTTCTTCTATTCTTATATTTAAAAAATAAAAGACAAAAAAAAAAAAAAGAACTACTCTTCCTCATCTCTTCTCCTTTCATTGTGTTTTGCTCTGGTTTTGAGTGTTTGGTCTGTGTCAGTTCCAGTGAATGCCCCCTTCACATACTCCCTTACACCTGTTTTCTAGGAGAATGATATAAACCTGACCCACATTGAATCAAGACCTTCACGTTTAAAGAAAGATGAGTATGAATTTTTCACCTATCTGGATAAACGCAGCATGCCCGCTCTGGCAAACATCATCAGAATCTTGAGGCATGAAATTGGGGCCACTGTGCACGAGCTTTCCCGGGATAAGAAGAAAGACACAGGTAAGAGACAGCAATGTTGCAACACAGATGACCCTACATTCTCATCATAAAATAATGGCAAAAATAATCTCTACCGGGCTTGCCTGGTGGCGCAGTGGTTGAGAGTCCGCCTGCCGATGCAGGGGACACGGCTTCGTGCCCCGGTCCGGGAAGATCCCACATGCCATGGAGCGGCTGGGCCCGTGAGCCATGGCCCCTGAGCCTGCGCATTCGGACCCTGTGCTCCGCAACGGGAGAGGCCACAGCAGTGAGAGGCCCGCGTACTACAAAATAATAATAATAATAATAATAATCTCTACCCTGGAAGACCAGGATTAAGTGAGAGGATATAGGTTAGGGACTCAGACAAGTACCTGGCATATTTAGACATTTAATAAATGTTCTTTTCCCCCTTCCTCAAGATAGCTGTTTCTTATATTAGTTGTCTTCTGCTGCAATTTTCATATATTTCTCATTCGTGGATTATTTTGCTGTCAATTTCGTGATTTCTAGAGGTAGGATGATTAGGGTATCCAGGGTGCTTTCTATATAAATATAATTTCGAGACAAATTCTTTAGTTACCTCCATTTCATCTCATAGCCTCTCCCCAAGTCCTTCTCATGACATGTCAATTCTGGAGCTGGAGCTCCTTGGCTCTGTTCTTAGGTCTTTCACTGTCTCTCTGTCTCTTCCACTAGATTACAAGCTCCTTGTGGGCAGGGAGAGTCTCTTGCCTATGTTAATATCCTCAGAGTTTAGTACAGTGTTTAATATACAGCCCTCAGCAAATGCTTGTGAGTGATGGCTAAACAGAGCAGTTGTCATGACTTGTTCTGCCCCCTTATTTACTTACTGAAATTGCTACTGAGTCCAAACTTGTTCTGCTCGGGTCATGTCAGGCCAATAAATCAGGAGACCAGTTGTTAGGGCAAGGAGTAACGACTTTATTCAGAAAGCCCTCAGACCGAGAGGATAGCAGCCTAGTGTCTCAAAGAACCATCTTACCTTATCAAAGAATTCAGGCCTTCTTTGAAACTAAAAAGGTGAAAGAGTTTGTTTGTTGCAAACTTCTTGGTGCAGGAATCCTTTGTTCTTGCAGGTGTCCACATAGGTCAGGTCATGATATTCCTATAAACCTCCAACAAAACAAATACTGTTCTCTGTTCTGCAACTAGTTATCCCTGTATGTATGAACTCTTAAAGGTCAGAGCCCTGAGAATAGGCTATCCTGTATATTTCAGGCTATAGGCAACATTCTTTTACAAAGCGTGCAAAGCCGCCATGACTAACATTCTTTTACAAAACGTGCAAAGCCGTCATGACTAAGCACAAGCAACAGAGTACAAAGGTTAAAGTAAAAGAAACAGCTCTAATATGGAGTCAGATTTGTTCTTCCCTATTACAAAATGTAATTGATGTGCCCTGGAGGGGAGTAGGGCAGTAGAGCGAAGGAATTAGGAGTATGGGCTTGGGGTTGGACAGGCTTCAGTTCAAGTCCTACTTTTTCCACTTATTGGCTTTGAGACCCTTGACAAGTCTCTTTAACTGCTCTGACCTCAATTTTTCATAGGGCTTTTGTGAGGACTAAATGAGATCTTCCGTAGTCGGTGCTTAGAACAGTGCCCAGCTGGATAAATGAGAGCATGTGATGGTTGTTAAATCGACGAGCCATGCTAATACGTTATTATTAACTAAAGGCTCTACATTAGGGATCATGCTTTGTATTGTGTAGTTCTGTTGGTTTTGGTAAATGCATAATGTCATGTATCCACCATTACACCTCATGCAGAATGGCTGCAACGCCCTAAAAATGCCCCGTTCTCCCCCTGTTCATCCCTCCCTCCTTATCCCCTCCCCCTGGCAACCACTCATCTTTTTATTGTCTCCATGATTTTGACTTTTCCAGAATGTCATGCATTATGAATATGGAATCATAGAGAATATATCCTTTTTAGGCTGTTTTATTTTTACATTTAGCAAGGTTCCTCCATGCCTTTTTGTGACTCGATAGCTCATTCTTTGTAATTACTGAATAATGTTCCATTGTATAGAGGCACCACATCTTGTTTATCCATGGGTAAGGCTGTTAAACACTCACGTGCAGGTGTTTCTGTGGACGAAAGTTTTCGACTCATTTAAGTTAAATACTTAGAAGTGTGATTGCTGAGATGAACTACTTTTTTCCCATATAATCAAAAATTTTTTTCTACTGTAAAATCAAAAGCTTTTTTTCTCGCCAAAACATTGACGACTAGCTCAAGAGGATTTCAGGCTCTGTACCTGAAAATAGTATGTTAATAGGCAGAGGTGCTTTAAAATGAGACAAGACCCACCTCTTTGCATAGACCATTGAAACATTTTCCAAAAGACACCTCCAAGGCCATCCTAGGAGACCTCCTCTCTTCCTGCTCGTGTCCTCCTGTGGCTGTAACCAAGACAAGGAAGTCCATCCTGGGCTTCTGCCTTGGCCAAGGGTGCACAGCGATGCACGCGGTCTCTGGTCACTGGGGGCGCGTACTTGGAATTCCTCCTCAGATTAACCCTATCTGCCTTCCTTCCTCTTCCACCTCCCAAGTGAGCTGCTGCCCTGATGACGATGGCCTTCTCTCGCTCTTCCGGCCACCTGCTCCCAACAGGAGCCACAGGCCCTCAGGGCAAAGGGTCTGCCGAATCGTGGGTCAAGCTCTGTCTCTGCTCAGAGCAGGTAGAGGGCAGGCCAGCTGGGGCCCTGGGGTAGGAAATCAAAGCAACTGACAGGCAGGCAGGCAGCCCCCTGGGGAGGCAGGGAAGATGCACAGAGATCAGCTGAAGGGCTGGCAGCCTGAACGGGAGGCTCAGAAATAGGATGTGGAAGAACAGTTAGGAGCCCAGACTCCGGAACCAGGATACACACTTGGTGTGACTTTGGGCAAATTACTGATCACCACAGTCTATCACTGTATCACTTGGGAGTACGAGCCTCTGCCTCACAGGATTAATGAAATAACACCAGTGGAGCACTGAGGACAGCACTGAGCATGTTTAAGGGCTTAACAGAAGTTCTCTATTCTTAGCATTATCATCCTTGTTATTATAAATTATGACCTGAGCACGGGAGCCATGAAAAGCCAGCCTGTACGCAGCTACGTTTTCGGGGATTCTGGGAACTAGAAAATAACCTCACAGGTCAGGCGGCCCAGCAGACTCCTTCATTTTTCATCATAAAAAATGGAGGCCGTGACTTGCCTTAAGGCACAGAGTAAGTTCTGTGCAGCTGTGGGCAAGCGGATGCCTAACACTGCTCCGTACCTGGCACCGTGCTTGGAGCTGGAAGGAGAGAGAGCCAGCACGGCCCGTCCCTCGTGAGCTCACAGGCTGGCGAGGATGACAGGACAGCCAGGTGAATACAGAAGAGGGGCGGGCGCTGTGATGGAGACACGTCTGGCGGAACTGGGCCTCTTCTCCACTTTTGACTCTGAGGACCCAGCAAGCGTGAAAGCGAAGAAGCCAACGTTCTGACACAGAGGCACCACGTCATCGGTGTTGGGCTCGTCAGAGGTGGAACGTGACACAGGTTTGATTCCCTGGTGGGGCTCAAAATGGCAGGGCGTTGATGTTTAACGTTGGATTGATACTTTACCCAGTGAGGAAAACACTGCTCAGACTAACCCTTTAAAACAACACGTATTTCTCGACCCTTATTTCTTTGGATGGTTGTGCACTCTGTCCCATATTGGCTGCCACTCCCTGACACGGTTTCCTGACCTTCATGTCCACGTAACGGACCGGCTGATCTCCATGCAGTGATGCTGAAACAGCCCAGTTTTGCACCTGCTGAGAGACACGGGCCCTTTGGGTTTCTGGGGTAGTTTTTGTGAACTGGAATCTGGGCCCAGAAACAGACCTTTTCAGGGGAAACAACCATCCTTTTGCAGAGTTGTTCTTTCCGTTGAACCCCACGGGAGGATGATTAGAAGAAGAAAGGCATCATCATAGATCCGAACCTTTGATTCTTTCACTTGACAAAATGCCCTTTCTATTGAGGGGCTCAGATCTCAGGGGCGAGTCTGACAGCAGGTTGAAGGGGAGAGATCTGAACCCCTCAAATCAATTAGGCTAAACCATTTTCCATTCTAGTTTTCAAACCGTTCAAAAGGCCGTGTGGGTGCTAGAAAATGAAAGTTTTCAGTTTCTTAATTGCTAAAGTTCCCCACCCAAAACAGCTTAAGGGAAGGCTAATTATGGTGACATGTTAAAGAAACCCCAACCTTCTAAAATGCCTCCTAGAGAAGCTGATGGGAGTTTAATAGGATTTTAATCCAGAGAGTCTTTTGAATACTTGAGGTCTATTCTCCGGCTACCCTCTCTCCTGATGACCTCAAATCCTTCTTCAACCCAACATGAAAGAGCATTAATATCTTCCATCGATCAATGTACTAATCCTTTTACCTTTCCCTTTGAGTCTTCTGCATGACATTACATTGAGCGGGGGGAATGGAAAATTCCTACATGGAGCCAGATTGCAGCCAGGAGAAGCAGATGGACAAAATGACTTGGCTAGACAGAGGTGTAGGATCATCACCTTTTGAGAAATTTATCCGTTTGGCGTTATTTTCCAAGAGCATTTGGCCATTGAGTAGATTTCGTTCATGCTGTGGTGGTGATTGTAAGGGTCTTGCTGTGGAAACAAAGGGAGTCCAGACTGCCAGGACAACTGCGATTTTCTGTGGGGAGTAGAAAGGCTATCTATTTATTTATTCATCTCTCTACCTACTACCTATATCTAGCCTAGGGGCTCTTATGATTTTATTTGTCTTCTTATTTGGATTAATTCCTGAAGCAATGATTTAAGTGGAGAAGACAAAGATTTAATTGTGAGACGACAAAGTAGCATCATTATATTTATTCCTTCCCTCGTATATGCCCCTCTCCCCTCCCAGCCCTCTTGAGTTTTTCCCTTTTCTGCTTCAACATTGCTGCCGTGAAAGGCAGTGCCATGATAAGTCTGCAGTTTCAGATCCATCGTGGGAGGAGGAAGGAT